TTTTTTTTTTGTCTGATGGTGGGCTACTTACCTCAAAAACAGACTTTACATGGTACCTTTTCATTTCATGTACACTAAAATTGAACCATAAATTTTAACCAGCCCATCACCACACAGCCAAATGTTCATGGGAGGGAGAATGGCAGAGCTTTTAAGAAACAAAGAAGGATTAACTATCACAGATCAACTTGATTTTGGAAGTGTGATTGTAGGAGAATCCAAAACCTTGACTGTATGGATAAGGTAAGGAATATTTCTTATCTTCCCTTGAACTGTAGAACCGCCTGTTCCTTTTACTTTTAAATAAAGGTGTATATCTATCTATCTATTGATCGGGTTACTGGTAACAATATTACAATGAAATTACAACACTTATTATATGACTGAGAAAATTACTTCATTGTGACCAGCTGGGAGCTGGCAAATTTATCATTAATTCACAATTTGCAAAGTTCCTGTCCACTTTTATATAACTGTGGCGGAAACAAAGGTAAAAAGTATGGACAGGTATCTCATTGTACATGTAATTTCTAGTTTATAAGTGGCATTGCTTCTTTTCCTGGCAAGTGTGACAGTTTTAAACCAGGTTTCAATTCTCAAATTGCAAGATTTTGGGGGCATACTCCATTGATTCTGCAACCCCTGCTGCAACCCCAAAGTATTAGCCACCTTCCCCTTTAAATATCCTGGATCCACCCCTGTGGTTCCCACTCCTTGATACAAATCTAAGTGGACTCTGACGTTTAAATTGTGCAGCTTTTCCTGATTAAAAGTTACAATGTGATTTTTTTTTGTTGTTTCTGCTAATTCTCCTGTGATTCTCTCAATGTTGGAATGCTACTTCCTGTCCTATTGTTTTCTGTCCTTTAAACCTTCCACCCTCTTACTACCTCTTTCTTTGTTGGACTACAGTGACTTCCCTTTTCCAAATATTTATTGTTTTATTTAATGAAACATTTCACAGTGACTTGGTAGTGTTGTGTTACTTACTTCTGATCATTCATTATACCAGCCCATTCTGCTAATAATTACATTGATTGTTCAATTTAAAATCCAAAGTATGCTTTAATAATTATTTTACTTAATATTAAATTACTTAAGGGCAGGTATAATCATGATTTGCAGCAAAAGTAAAAAGTCACCTGTAGACAGTCAACCATTCAATGTAAATGTCTACAGGTTTTTATCTGCAATAAATAGAAGATGTAGCATTTTATTACAAACCATACAATCATATTTGTCTTATTTCAGCAACAACGGCGAAAAGGGACAAATATTTCAGTCTTGTACACCAGTTAGAGATGATCCTCAGTTTTGCATCCAGTTGGCCAACAAACCTCTCTGTCAATCAGATGCACAGGGCAGCCATTGTCGAAACAGATCTTGTTCTGTTGAGGAACTGTTACTCCAAGGATCCTTATTAGCACCAGGAATGGAAATACCTCCAAACCAAGCCAAGCAAGTGGTCATTATATTCAATGCAAAGTACGTATGATGCTGTGACAATACTTTAGGTTAAACTTTTTGTATTGTGTACTAAAGGCAACTGCAGTCGAGTGTCAGTCAGTACCCTCGATCGACTCTCAATCACCATCTTGATCAACACTTGATTGACACTTGATTGACATAATAATCTTGACTGACACTTGATTGACACTCGATCAATAGTCAGCCATGTTGACCAACTCATATACATCGATTGCAAATTTGTTGACTCTCGACGAACTGTCAACTGTTATGCCAAGTGTCAACCGAGGTGTCAATGGAGTGTTGATTGAATATCAATTGAGTGTTGATCCAGGGTCAATCGAGGGTATCGATGGAGGGTATTGATCGATACATGACCTCGGACGCCTTTAGTGTATGTAAACATGATCCAACTTTTTCATAAAATGGATAAAAATAAAATAATTTAATGTGTTCATAAAACTTTCAACCAGTGCTGCGTATTATCTGTGATGAACTTAAAATGGCACAGTCAATTGTTTATTTCACTCTTTCAAAGATTTTGAAATTTAATGAATAATTATTCTCATCAATATCAATAATGTTTAAAAAATGTGAGGGAAAAACTAGCTATAATTATCTGTCATAATTTTGCACAAATCTACTGTACAGTGTAATTTGGTTGGAATTATGAGATACTAAATGTTATTAGTTTACTAATAATACTGCTACCATAAATACTAGCTTCTGAATGGTTGAAAGCTAATCAATTTATCACAAATTGTATCAATAGCTGAACAATTAAATTTTAATGTTATCGGTCACATTCGAGCAATGAAGTCGGGTAAAACTTTCAGGTTTACCATTCAAGACTAACAAACCGCTTTGTATGAAGAAGGAGCAGTAAACAAAAACAGCACGAAATGGACCGTACTTGGAGTGGGCTAACGAGAAGAGAAAACCAAAAGGCATTGAAAATATCTCGCTTGAAGATCTCGACTAAGTTCTCAGAGATTTCTACACCAACCTAGAGGAAAAAAAGAAGACGGCAGCAACTACAAGCCAGAGTCCCTGGGAGTTATGCAAACATCCTTAGACTACTCCTACCAGAACAAAGGTTACAAAGTTTTAATTATTCGGGGACTGAGGAAATTTGTAGAGTCTAACTAAATTTTAAAGGGGAAAGCCTTTACCCTTCAGCACGAAGACAATGAAACAAGTCCATACTCAACAGATGTACTTACCTGGGAAGAAGAAGAAATGCTCTGGAAAGAGGGCCGACTAGTCAACTGAAGAAAACTTCAATTGGTAATTGGTGACCCAACATTTTGGTTTAAGAGGAAGGCAAGAAAACTCTGACTTGTGCGTTGCACTCTTCAAGTTTGCAAAGGACGAAAATGGTCACATGTTTGTCACTTTTGCTGACTCAAACCCCATGAAGACAAGAAAATCTCTCATGAAGCTTTAATGAATTTTTTGTAATAGTGTGCAATAGTGAAATATGTCTGTAAATAGTGTCAATTAATAAAAAATCTGAAAAAATCTGAAATCAATGAACGATGGTAATTCCAAGAATGGTGGCTACTAGCGGAGAGAGGTTTCCAGTTTGAGGAATATATCAGCTACCAACCAAGCAAAGCAATGAAGGTCCATGGCATGAAAATCTTTGGAAGAACTTACAAAGTTCGTTGACAAACGTTTAACTAGTCTTCCCATTTCAACTTCACTTGTCTTTCCACGCTTTAGCTCTGTTTTCCCAAATGGATTCGTCCTTGTACCTCTAGCTCTATGACAAAGTTNGAGAGGTGGTAACTTACTTTTGAGCGGTACTGTAAGTTCTCAGAGATTTCTACACCAACCTAGAGGAAAAAAAGAAGACGGCAGCAACTACAAGCCAGAGTCCCTGGGAGTTATGCAAACGTCCCTAGACCACTACTTCAAGAACAAAGGTTACAAAGTTTCAATTATTCGGGGACTGAGGAAATTTGTAGAGTCTAACAAAATTTTAAAGGGGAAAGCCTTTACCCTTCGGCACAAAGGCAATGAAACAAGTTCATACTCAACAGATGCACTTACCTGGGAAGAAGAAATGCTCTGGAAAGAGGGCCGACTCGTCAAATGAAGAAAACTTGGTAATTGGTGACCCAACATTTTGGTTTAAGAGGAAGGCAAGAAAACTACGACTTGTGCGTTGCACTCTTCAAGTTTGCAAAGGACGAAAATGGCCACATGTTTGTCACTTTTGCTGACTCAATCCCCATGGAGATGAGAAAATCTCTCATGAACCTTCAATGAACAACGGTAATTCCAAGAATGGTGGCTACTAGCGGAGAGAGGTTTCCAGTTTGAGGAATATATCAGCCACCAACCAAACAAAGCAATGAAAGTCCATGGCTTGAAAATCTTTAGAAGAACTTACAAAGTTCATTGACAAACTTTTTAAACTAGTCTTCCCATTTCAACTTCACTTGTCTTTCCACGCTTAAGCTCTGTTTTCCCAAATGCGTTCATCCTTGTACCTCTAGCTCTATGACAAAGTTTAAATCACTGCTGTAAACTTTTCATTAAACGTTTTCATGCGAGTTTTGTCAGTAAAATAACACTTTTACCATTTTGATGTGCATTTCCTTGAAATCCTTTAGATCATTCATCAAAAAGTCGCCGAATGCGTTCAGAGTTTTGGCAGCTTTAAAGCCGATGAAATTGAACTTAATGTTACAAACTTGGGACTTGCTCGTCTTTGTGGCTCGTTTCCATAAAAAAAAAGAAAATTGTGGAGCACTTTCGCAAAAAGTGTTGAGAAAATTGAAGTTACAAAACTAAAATATTTAATCACAGTGTGGTTTCAATTTATAACCCTCTACAACAATAAGACAGCAGTTAGAAGCTTCTATTTATGGTTACTGTATTATTAAAAGGAAATAAGTCCTTTTTTCTCAAAACAATTAGGGATTAATTGTACTTGTGGACAGATCGGACTTTTTTGTAATTTCCTTGGGTGGCTGCCACAGACACTCGTGGAAATTACTAAAAAGTTCAATCGGTTCACGCATACAATAATTTGTTAATGCTTAATTGTTTCTCGAACAGACTGATTTCCTATACTAATTAGTCCTCAAATATGATTTTCTATTATTTTAGCCATCAAAGTGATGCACAAAAACAAATAACTAATAAATTTGTTTAATACTTGGTTGTTAATCAATAAAATAATTTACTTTTCATTAATGTCTTTTTTTCTTCAGAAACCTTGGCAGAGTCAATCATCTCTTAGTGTTCAACTTTGGAGGGTTTGAAATTGGACGATACATTACTTCCAATGTGGAGGATCCTCAACAAGCTGCTCTGAGACCATCAGCGCCATACCAGCGGTCACACAACAGAACCAAAGAAGCTTGGAGAAAGGTTGCCGATAGCAACAGTGGGGAAGGATGGATTGTGCCAGGAGAGAAGCCCTTAAGGTACACAATTCCTTTAAACCAGGATTAGT